CAGCACGCGCAAGCGCCGCGCCCGCCCCTCGCGGGTCGAGGAGGGGGGTGGGGTGGGGCTGCCCGCGCGACTGAGGGGAGAGCTGCGCCGCCTCCGCCACCCCGCTCGGGAGGCGGGAAATGGCGGGGGGGGGGGGCGGAACGGACACACACACACACACGACCCAAACCAAAATAAAACTGGCAACCGAGCGAAAAAAAAAAGATGTTGCAGGAAGAAAAATCCTGGTGATCGCGACGCGATGCTGACGCACCTCGCCCCCCAGCGCGTAATTTTCGCACCAGCAGCGGAAGGCAGGGAGCGGGGCAGGGGCTGGTGCCATTGCCCCCGGTGGGAGGTGATTTCCACGGGAGATGGCAATAGGCGCGGAGCCCACGGGGACACGCAGCTGCATCAAGGCGTGTTCCCAAAACGGCCTTTTTTTTGGGGGGTACACCTGTCACATGAAGAACTGTGTCCCTGTTCAGACAGCTGGAACTGTGCCTCAGTGTTTTCTCCAAAATACTCCCAACGTATCGGCCTGCTCATGGACTGCGGGGTTCGGAACCTGCCACTTGAAATAAAAATTTTGGGGAAGAAATTATCTAAACACAGAAAAATATCCAAGTCTTCATCAAAAAAAATAGTAAACTGGAAATAAGGTGTGCTCCAGGTTTTCCTCAGCTTTATTCCCCTCCCATGTAAGAATGTACAAGCTAGTAAAATTGACATTGTTTCAGTATAGATTTAAAACAATAATAGTATTATTAACTTCAAGAAATACTGAATATGCACAAAATTGCATAACTGTAACCCCAAGTTATTTAACCTGGAATTCTCTGGAAATCTGTGGTGCAGTATTTACTCAGGCAAGTAATCTTCGCTTAAGAAAAAAGCCACCCATAATTGTTTTCACAGGACCAGGGGGAAAAAAAAAATGGCAGAAAATTGGCAGCCCAAATTTAATGGGGTAAGGCAACTGTATCCCTTAGTGTTACTCTGGCTATAGAGGGATAAAGCATGCTGTTAGGAGTTACTAAATGAGTAGTATCCACAAACTATTTTATAAAACTAACTGGAAAGATGGTCTGTTCTCCGTTCCAAATAACACAGACTTCACAACCGGGTAGTAGCACAGTCATGGTACATTAGCACTCAAAGGTTAGAGAGAAAGAAGTTGATGGGAGTTCATGTCCTCTTACAGTAAGGTTATGAAATGTATAACCAGAATGACAGTGTATCAGAAGTATGCAAATAAATGTACAAGGGAATAAAGTGACTTCACCTGTTTATGTAGAAGTTCAAGGACATCAAAATATAAATCACTCTGTTTTGTTGGAACAGGTAACTGTGCTCTTGATAGTATAAGAAAGTGTTGCTGACGCACACAATCTCTCTCTACACTTTTTTCCCATGGCTTCACTACCATCAGCTCTGCGATCCTGGCAACAGGTAGAAGGCAACAGCCAAGCCAAACATCAAGCACATCCCTTTCAACTCTTACTCCTTATCCTGAAATTGAAAGATACTTCAAAATGAGATTTAGACTAAGAACAAACAAAAATGTATTTTGAAAGGATGTGACAAATTTTGAAATTCAACCTACTCGTGCATCCAGCCTCTCAGGGAGTGTTGTGTGAGTAGCCTGGCAGGGACTCTGGGCAGTATTAAATATAGCTACATATTCATGGGGCCTGGTGCTCCAATCCCCCTAATGTGTGTGGGGGGAAACAAAAAAAACACCACCAAAAAAACAGCTAGATCCTGCCTGTGCTGGGCTTGTAGAATAAAACTTCCACACATAACAAAAACCAGTTGCATACCCCTAGAGGTAATACCTTTATCTGACCATTTAACTACTATTCAGGCAAACAGTCTTCCCAAACAAAATTCACTGATACCTTGAGAAGTTCATTGCCTGTAAAACATAGTGTTGCTGGCTACTGTTTATCATCCATCCACATAGTTCAATAACCAAAACACGGAGCTAAAATACATTTATACATAAGTGAAATAATCACCATTTTTTTTACATATAGCTCAGGAACCCCAAATACTTGAAGCAAGGAAATATGAAATCAGTAGGGCTCTGTGCCAGAAAAACTGTATTTGCTATATCTAGATTAAACTTCATCATTTTCATAAGCAAGGTCTATAAGTTCTAGACATATCTCTGCCAGTTTAGGGTGGATGGCGGTAACATTTTATGACTGACATAACTGATGGCAAATGCCCCTCACATAGATAGTATATTTTGATAAATCTGACCATTACCCAGCAGAGTTTATTTTTCTTGGAGGAAGAAGGAGATGGCTGGAGCAAGGTATGCCGTCAAAATCATAGTTTAGCAGGCAGGAAAGATGCTAATATTAGCACTATTTTGTTGTTCTACTTTGTATATTAGCAAAGGATTCCCAGCAGAGACCTCAAACCAGAAGATAAACATGGTGAAATTGAGATGGGGCAGAGTGATATGATAGAAGGAGCGGGAGAGGTAAAATGTTAACATTTTTTCTTTCATCATAGTGGAATTATTCTACAGAGCTGATTTAAGCAAACACCCTCTGGCAAATCTATTGAATTTACTGAAGATGTTGTTGTCCCTATTTGTCCACCCCTACGTTCTGCCTGAAATTACATGGTGGAACGAGACAGCATGTGCTATGCTTTAACCATCCAAATTCACAGCCTGCTGTATCACTGAAAACCCACATATTTCAGAAATTAAAGCTAATATTCTACCCAGTGCACAGTAATAGCTGAAGTGTGAGACATGCCAGCCTGTAGAAACAGTGACCTGTAGCTGAGAGGTGGGATGGATGAGTGGTGGTAGTGCATTTATTTTAATTAAATGCCCCAGTAATTACATTGAAATGACCAGGAAATTTTTCCAGAAGGGATATGGTTTTGAAAAGCAATTCAAAGTTCAGAGAAAACTCTGAATAAGACAGATCACCTGTGTAAACTGGGGTCATTCGTTCTAGAGTGTTGGTCATGAAACAATAGTACCTTTTAACCTGAATTTTACACACACCTGAGTCCCACTTCTTGTGGGACTATACCCAGTTATGCATTAAAAACCAAACCCCAAACGTAATTATGGAAAAAATAATACTGGTTATGAATCAGCAACTGCTAAAAATGAACTGCTAAGGAAGCTCCTTATATTAATGCCAATACAGAAACAAAAAGTATAAACTTCAACCTTGAGTTCTAGTCTACCCTAATACCTTTGTCATAGAAATTGTTTGCAAATGTAGTTCTGCTGCTATAACCAATCAAATAAAATATCTAATGTGTATTGCCCACACAGTCAAGAATAACATATATGGAAATATTGAGCAGATGAATTAATATTAATCTTTTTCACATGTCAGACCTAAGAATGCTTGCTCAAGGTCACCAAGTGTATTTCATAAATGTCTGGAAAAATCTTTCCAAGTTTCCAAGGGATTTCCAGACAAAAGGCTCCTCTTGGTGTTTATGGGCCCCGATCACTCAGAGTGGCAAGAAATTGTTCAGATAACTAACTCCTCTTGTGTCTTCGGTAGCGCAAGTAGCGCGGATAGTCTGGCCCGTTACAGCCATAGGCAGAAAATCAACTATTCATATTTCATACGAAACTTTCCTCGCTGAGATCTGTTATGCAACCATTACGTACAAAATAAATTTCCAGTTACCAATTCTATGCATTTTTCCAGACACAGAAACCGAAGAACATTACCAGGGCAGTAATGACTGTAAGCATCGTTTTCTGTGAGGAGCTGCCCAGGTACAGAAAGGTCGCAGGTGCCTTGCCCAAGGTTTGGCCCTGAATCGCTGCTGCAGGTTGCAGGCACTCTTTCCTTGCTCCTGCGGAGAGGTCGGTGCCTCAGATATCCAATTACTTCTCTCCCTCCGCCACCCCCCCCCCCCTTTAAAAAACAAAAACAAAAACAAAACAAACAAACAAAAAACAACAACCAAACCCCAAACCAATAAACCTAGGCAACTACTACCTTGTATGTAAGTGTTACTATTTCCCCGTAAGACGAAAGGAAAGGTGAGGTCTTCAAAACCCGATTTATCGCAGCGTGCCGGTATTTACAGAGAAGTGGTCTTCTCCAATCCCCCTCCTTCCCCCCGCCCAGTTACAGCTGTTGATTTCTAAATGGGTTATTATGACCCAAACTGCGGAGAATTTCGGGCAGGAGGGAGCGGAGCGGGCGGTTACGTGCGGGCGGCCCCGCCGCCGCCAACACGGGGAGCGCCCGTCCACGGCCGCGGCCACGCACGGCGGCAGCTTGGAGGTGCCGCATCACTTTCGTCTTTTTTTTTCTTTCTTTCTTTTTTTTTTTTTTTCCCCTCTCGGTTTTACACATAAACCCGGCTGGCTCAGCTTCGTCGCGGGCCGACAAGTGATCGCGACGGCACTGCGGGGCGGGAACGGACCCTGCGTGGACGGGCGGAGGGATGCGTGCGTGACCCCCAGCCCCCCCTCCCCCTCCCGGGCATGTGCAAAGGGAGCTTCCCCCGCCGCGCTCGGGGCGGGCGGAGATGCGGCTGCGATCACGAACAGCCAGCCCCCATCCCCCCGACTGTTGTTATTATTACTGCCCTCCCCACGCCGCGCCGCGCTCAGCGCTCCGCGAGGAACCGCGACCGGCCTCACACCGGAGCGACACCCCCCCCCCCACGCAGGAAAATGGGGACTGGCGAGCCCCCCGCCCCTCCCACCGCCCACCCCGGCCGGGGCCCCTTCCCCGCCCGCCGCCGGAGCCCGCCCCGCCGCCATTCCCCTCCCTCCGGCGGCCCGGGGAGAAAGGCGCCCATTGATTCCCCCCGCGGGCTAACGCGCGGGTTCCTTTCCCGCCCCGCACGCCGCGTACACAGCGCGCGTGGCAGCGGGGGCAGCCCGGCTTTGGGGGGGGGGGGGGGGGAGACGCCGGGGGCCGCGCTCCCCGCGCCGCCGCCACCCGTGTTTTTTATTCGCCTCGCCGCGGTGCGTTTCCAGAGGAAACGCGGACGCTGCCCTTACTCACCGCTAACGCGAAACGCCCGGATAAATTAATTTCTTTAATTAAAACCGAGTAACAGTGTCGCCGCCCTCCCTCGGTGGCATTTCCTCGCAGCACGTAAATAACCGCTGCTTGGCGGGGGGGGGGGGGGGGAGGAGTAGCACCCGGGACCCCAGGGAGGGGCAGCGACTCCCCGAGTGTTTCGGGACGGGGGAGCGAAACGCTGGCGCGTGAGGTGGGGGGAAGTGTGTGGGGGGGGGGGGGAGCGTGGGGGTCGGCCACGCACGCCGTGCCGCGTGGGCGCGGGCTGACACACCAGGTGGAGGAGTGCGCGTACGACGGCGGCGGCGGGGGGGGGGTGGGGGATGGGAGCCGCCGTGCGTGCGTGTGCGAGGAAGGCTGACGCACACACGCGTGTGTGTGGGTGTGCGGGAGGGAGGCTGGCGCACACGCGCGCCCGGAAGCTCCGCTCCGTGGGCGGGGGGGGGGGGGGGGGGACAATACACGAAACCCGCGGCGGGAGGGTCGGCAGCACCTGGTGGCCGCTGCCGAGCTACGCCGGTACCCCCGCTGTGTCCCGCCCGGCGGGGCTGCGGGGGACGACACCGGGACCCGCCGGGTGCACCGGCGCTCCCCGCCGCCCCCGGCACGCTCCGGGCTGTGTGCGCAGAGAGGAGCGGCGGCGGGGGGGGGGGGGGGGTGGCCGCTGCGCCTGAGGGGGGCCGGCGGCGGTAGGCGGGAACGCACCCACCGCGGAGGGGCGGGAGGAAAGGGCGGGGGGGGGGCGGGGGCGAGGCCGGCGCCGTCCAACGGAGTGCCGCCGTTTCGCAGGCGCAGGCCCGCCCCGCCGCGCCATTGGCGGGCGGAGCCGTCCATCGCGAGGCGCGGCGGCCAATGCGGGGCGGTGCCGGCGGCGGCCGCGCCCCGCCCCCGTCTCGGTGTGTGAGCGTCTCGGTAAGGCGGCGGTCACGTGTTGTTTTGCTCTTTAGTTGGGGCACTCGGTGCGCGATGTGTTACTTACGGCGAAACTCCCGCCGGCGCCGGCAGCAGCCGCCGCGGCACCACCACCAGCAGCAGCGGCCGGGCAGCGGCGCCGCCGCCGGTACCCGACCCGGGGAGGAAGCCGGGCGGCCGCCGGTAGCACCCGCTGCCTAGGAGCGACGGCGGAGGACCCCGCTGCGGCTCCGGGCAGCCGCGCTCTTCCCGCAGAGGAATAACTTTATCTTACCCGCTTCTTCCCCACCACCACCACCCCCCCTCCCCGGTCTCTCTTCCTCCCGCGGCGCTCGGCCCCCCAGACCCGCTCGGCGGCAGCGAGAGGAGCCGGGCGGCGGTTCCGCCGCCGGGTCGGGGATGGCGAGCCCCGCCGTGCTGGGGCTACTGCCCCCCCTGAGCTCCCCGCCCGGCCCCAACCTGAACAACAACAACAACAACAACCAGGGCGTGAGGAAGTGCGGGTACCTGCGCAAGCAGAAGCACGGCCACAAGCGCTTCTTCGTGCTGCGGGGCCCGGGCGGCGGGGAGGAGGCGACGGCGGGCGCGGGGGGCGCCCGGCTGGAGTACTACGAGAGCGAGAAGAAATGGAGGAACAAGTCCGGGGCGCCCAAACGGGTGATCGCCCTGGACTCCTGCCTCAACATCAACAAGCGGGCGGACGCCAAGCACAAGTACCTCATCGCCCTCTACACCAAGGACGAGTACTTCGCCGTGGCGGCCGAGAACGAGCAGGAGCAGGAGGGCTGGTACCGGGCTCTCACCGACCTGCTCAACGAGGGCAAAGCGGCCTGCCAGGGGTCCCCCCACCGCCACCTCGCCTCCCCCTTCTCCGCCTCCTGCAGCGCGGCTGCCGCCTCCCTGGCCGCCGCCGGCGAGGATCTCAACTACGGGCTGATCACCCCGGCCGCCGCTGCCTACCGGGAGGTCTGGCAGGTGACGCTGAAGCCCAAGGGCTTGGGGCAGAGCAAAAACCTCACCGGCGTCCACCGGCTCTGCCTCTCGGCCCGCACCATCGGCTTCGTGCGCCTCAACTGCGAGCTGCCCTCGGTCACGCTGCAGCTGATGAACATCCGCCGCTGCGGCCACTCCGACAGCTTCTTCTTCATCGAGGTGGGGCGCTCGGCGGCCACCGGCCCCGGCGAGCTCTGGATGCAGGCGGACGACTCGGTGGTGGCCCAGAACATCCACGAGACCATCCTGGAGGCCATGAAGGCGCTGAAGGAGCTGTCCGAGTTCCGGCCCCGCAGCAAGAGCCAGTCCTCCTCCTCCTCCTCCTCCGGGGGGGCCGCCGGGCCCGGCGGCGGCGCCTCCGCCACCCACCCCATCACCGTGCCCGGTCGCCGGCACCATCACCTGGTCAACCTGCCTCCCAGCCAGACCGGCCTCCTCCGCCGCTCCCGCACCGACAGCCTCGCCGCCGGCGCCGGCACCAAGTGCACGCCGTGCCGGGTGCGGACGGCCAGCGAGGGCGACGGCTGCCGGGTGGGCTCGGTGGCCGGCAGCCCCATGAGCCCGGGCCCCGTGCGGACCCCCCTCAGCCGCTCGCACACGCTCAGCAGCGGCGGGGGCCGGCAGGCGGGGAAGCTGCTGCCGGTGCTGGCCGGCGGCGGCAGCCTGCAGAGCAGCCGCTCCATGTCCATGCCCGCCTCCCACTCGCCCCCCTCCGCCACCAGCCCCGTCAGCCTCTCCTCCAGCAGCGGCCTCGGCTCCGAGCCTGCCCACCCGCATCACCCGCAGCGCCCGTCCAGCGGCAGCGCCTCCGTCTCCGGCTCCCCCAGCGACGCCGGCTTCATGTCCTTTGACGAGTACGGCTCCAGCCCGGGCGGCGACCTGCGGCCCTTCTCCTCCTCCTCCACCGCCAGCAACCGCAGCAACACCCCCGAGTCGGTGGCCGAGACCCCGCCGGTGCGGGACCCCGGCGGCGGCACCGACCTCTACGGTTACATGGCGATGGAGCGGCCCCCGAGCGGCCGCCTCTGCTACCGGCCCTGCCCCGACGCCGCGGCCGACAGGGGCCACCGAAAACGGACCTACTCGCTGACCACGCCGTGCCGGCAGCGGCCCGCCCCGCCGCAGGTCTCCTCCGCCTCCCTCGACGAGTACACGCTGATGCGGGCCACCTTCGCCGGCAGCGCCGGCCGCCTCTTCCCCTCCTGCCAAGCCGGGGCTTCCCCCAAAGTGACCTACACCCCCTACCCCGAGGACTACGGGGACATCGAGATCGGTTCCCACCGCAGCTCCGGCAGCAGCAGCACCAACCTGGGGCCGCCGGCGGGCGCGGGGGGAGGAGGAGGAGGCGGCGGGGGGGGAGATGATGACGGCTACATGCCCATGACCCCCGGAGTGGCCGCAGCCTTAGGGCAGGGAAGCCGGGGCGGCGATGACTACATGCCCATGAGCCCCACCAGCGTGTCTGCCCCCAAACAGATCCTGCAGCCCCGGGCGGGGATGGGTGGCGGGTCCCCCGGGAACGGGAGCAGCTACAAGACCAGCTCACCCGGGGAGAGCTCCCCCGACGACAGCGGGTACATGCGGATGTGGTGCGGCTCCAAGCTGTCCATGGAGAGCTCGGACGGGAGGCTGAGTAATGGCGACTATATCAATATGTCCCCTCGGGACCCCCAGCACGGGCCCCAGGCTCCCTCCCTCACCCCCCCGGACTTCTTTTTCGCCCCTTCGGGGCACGGGTCCAGCGAGCCCCCCAAGCCCGGCTGCTATTCGTACAGCTCCTTACCCCGCTCCTACAAGAGCCAGGGCCTGGCGAAGGACAGCGACCAGTACGTCTTCATGAACTCCCCGGGGAGGATGATCCCGGAGGAGGCGGTGTGCGGAGCGGGCCAGTTGCCCGCCGGCACCTTCGCCCCCTCCAGCCACACGGTGCCTTCGCCCCTGCGGCACAGCCGGACCGAGAGCTTCCTGAGCCAGCGGTGCCAGCGGGCCGCCCGGCCCAGCCGCCTCTCTTTGGAGACCTTGCGGACGATGCTGCCCAGCATGAACGAGCACCCTCTGCCGCCCGAGCCCAAGAGCCCCGGCGAATACATCAACATCGACTTCGGGGATGCCGCCGTCTATTCTCCCCCCTCGCTGCCCGCCGACAGCCCGGCCTCCTCCCTGGGCTCGGGCACGGGGCGGAGGCGCTCCCCTCTCTCCGACTACATGAACATTGACTTCGGGTCGCAGTCGCCCTCCCAGTCGGGCACGGTCTCGGTGGGCTCCCTGGAAGCGCTCTCGCCAGGCTCTTCCTCCAGCACCAGCCAGCCCGACGGGCGCTACCTGAAGGCGGCTGTGGGGGTGGCTTGTTCGTCCAGCCCGTCTGACGGTGGGGATTACACTGAGATGACCTTTGGCATGGCCACCACCCCACCTCAACCCATCGTTCAGAAGCCAGAAAGTGCCCGGGTCAACAGCCCCACGGCTGGGGTGAAGAGGCTCACCCTCTCTGGGGTGGAGGCTTTCATTCTCTCCAGCCCTCCCCCAGACCCAAACCGGGGGGCCAAGGTCATCAGGGCGGATCCCCAGGGGCGCAGGAGGCACAGCTCGGAAACTTTCTCCTCCACCACCACTGTGACCCCCGTGTCCCCCTCCTTCGCACACAACCCCAAACGGCACAACTCGGCCTCGGTGGAGAACGTGTCCCTCAGGAAAAGCGAAGGCCTGGAGGAGGAGCAGGGTAGCAGCCCCATGTGCCGGGAGACCTCGGCTGGCTTCCAGAACGGCCTCAACTACATCGCCATCGACGTGGTGGACGGGACCCTGGCAAACTGTGACAAAGCCAGGTCGAAAGCCAGGCACGTCCTGAACGGGGGCATCAGTGGAGGGGAGATGAGCGCCTATGCCAGCATAGACTTTCTGTCTCACAACCTGAAAGAAGCGAGTGCTGTGAAAGGTGAGTAGCTACGTCTGACAGTGCCTGCCATGCGTGTTTGTGCGTAGTGTTTGTTTCTCACCGCGGGGTTGTGTTTTGTTGGCTAGAGCACTATCCTTCCTCGCTTTCTTAAAAAAAAAAAATCTCTTTTCCCCCAACAAGTCCTGTAATAAACAGTCTTGGAGGAACTCGCTGGCTCTTTGCATGAGGAAAAGTTTAATCTGGGGATATTTCTTCATGTTTGAATTCTACTTTGCTATTATTGTGAGTGTACGCTTCTGGGTACCCCAATAGAAGCTAATGTTTACACAGTTACTGTGTTTGGGCTGTACTTCAGAGTTTTCTTATGTAAGATTTTGGAAAGCGCTTGGAAAATGAGACCAAAATAGTTTACGTTAATGCAGCTTTTAAATACTTTTTTAAAAATATAAAATGATTGAGTTAAAAAACAGGATTCTTGGAATAAGGACATCAGATTACAAAAAAATGCTTGGCTCTCTAGCTGGGAAGGTCAATCATACCAAAATGAGGAGGATAAATTTAATATCTTGGTTTTGAAATATCTCTTGCAAAAGTTTAACAGTAAATCATGGTGAGCATGGAATGTGAATTTTTTTAAAAATATAATTCTTTCCAGAAGTCGCTATATGCTTGAGCTGTTGCATGTTATATCGCACATTTTGCTTAAAGGCCCACCCTGTGGTGGTGTGTAACTATGTTCCAGCTGGCGGCTCAGCCCCAGTATGAATGACCAGTTGGTTGGCTTGCTTTTATATGGAT